AGTATGCACTGAAATCCAAAGAGGAACTTGGTCTAAACCAAAATTAAACTTATGTAACCTCTTAAATTATGTCTAAAATTAGGCAAACCAGGTCTAAGCTAGGACTAAACCAGGTGTAAATATGGACTAAACAAGGTCTAAACCAAGATTAAACTGTATTTTGTTCAGATTTGATTGACAGTACAGTACCACTCATGCTTTTCTCAGTCTCTTTGAATGTCTCCTGAGTGTGATGCCATTGACGTGTGAGCGCGTGTCATCACTGTGTGTCAATGGGACTTAACAACGTAGCTTTAAAACTCACATCAAAATGATAAAAGTTAAAGAAGGACCAAGCCAGGACTTATCCAGAAATAAACCAGTTCTATAGCAGGAATTAACCGTGGCTGTACTGGGACCACACAGTGTGCATAATTATTAGGCAAGTTGTATTTATGAGAAATAGTTTTTTAATTGAACAACTACAGTGCTCTGGGTCAATACAAAATCTTAATAAAACTCAAACCTGAATTTTATTTACTGGGCAACTATTAATGTGCAGAATTATTAACTAAATGCAACATTTTGCATTCTCAGTTGTTTGTTTTCATCTGTCAGAAGAGTAAACAAGACAAATTTGCAAATACACATTTATGTGACCAATATAGCACTGTAAACTCTATATATAAATGGACATAGCTAACCCACTAGTGTTCACGGAGGCATCGTGAGCTTCATTTGACTGGAGCCGAATGCTATTGGTGAAGTAACACTCCTTTAATCCACTTCTTTATACAGTCTATGACTGGGACTAACCCTACACATATTTCTGTCAAATCAAAGACTTTTGGCAAGAGAAGGTTCTGGGTTCTGTCTGTGCAAAGTTTACATGTTATCCCTGTATCTTCTGGGCACTCCAGTTTACCCATTCAACCCAAATCGTGCAACATAAGTAAAATCCTCTAGCTCAGGTAGTCCTGACCAAGACTAGAAAGAAGATCATGGACATAGGTCCTCAGGTGCACTGACCACTGCACCTAAAATGCTCCAGTGACATTAAAGGATGGGTCAAATGCAAAGGAGACATTTCACTCTGGGGATAATAAAGTATAATAATAAGACAAGGCAAAATGGATTCTATCTGGACAACTGAGGGATTGTACACACATCTTAATAAGGGAAATAATAATACTTTTTTTTTTTTTTAAAGGATTGAACCAGGACAAGTACTAAACAGGATAAACCAGGTCTATATCAGGTCTAAACCAGGTCTAAACCAAAACTAAATCAGGACTAAACCCAGACTAAACCAGGATGTCATTTGGCGTGAGTGTGGGGTTGACAACATGACTTTAAAATGAGGTCTGACACAGCTGATTACAGAGGACAGACTCTTGTGTGAGACTCTATTTTATTACTATTATTTATCCTGATGTCATTCACTTCTGACATTCTCCTTGAAAATAACACAACATTTGTACATCTAGAATAAATATATAGGACTGTGTAAGATTGTATATATAAATGGACATAGCTAACCTGCTAACCATTGCCTTCCAAATAGGAAGTTAATGTAAAACATAACTTTGAAAAAACCCAAAACATAATTAAATTGACCATATATTGAAAATAATTATTGAAATGCGTTATTGGAATAAAGTAAAAATAATGATTAAATGTTGTGTTACCAATTTAAACCATTGGGCCTTTTTTTTTTTCAGTGTGAAATCCTAACCTCTTATGTTGCCTACTCATTATCTACTACACAACTTTGACGTCATGTTTTGGACCGCCCACTGAAAACATCATACAGTTTGTCACTGTATAATTAATAGGCTGTTTAAATGGTTGTTTTAATGTCTATAAGGAAACCACTTTACCCATGAGTCATATTGAAGTGAGAGACACAGAGGCACCATGAGGCCGAGTGGAGGGGCTGTCATCACATAGACTGGAAATATGACAGAGCGGAGAGTCAGACCAGTGGTGGAAAAGGTACTCAATTTTGTTACTTAAGTAAATGTACAGATACCGGAACAAAAAAAGTATCAACTAAATCTAAGCTCATCTAAAAGTATCAACATTAAAAAAAATAAAAAAAATCTACTTAAAGGTACACTGTGTGAGGATCTGTCACAAGCTTCTCTGACAATATCATGAATTGCATTATTGCAAAAGTGTGTTGTGTTGCAGACAGAGCTATAACCACCCAGCTGCTACAACCCCACTATGGCCTGGTGGTTTGGTAAAGTAAAATATAAGATCATTCAGTCAACTGGACTAAATTTTAGAGTTCCAGAAAGAAGGTGCTTCATCAGTTCTGGCACAGTTCTTTTAGGGACTGATTTACCTTTTTAAAAGGGAGGGAACTAGACTTAAGACCTTCGGAGAAAAGAGGGAAAACTTACTCACTCTAATAAGTTGGTCCAGTTGAATAAATCCTGAAGCCTTATTTTCTATAAGCTTCTGGACACTGAGGGAAGACACAGTGTGATATCTTGACCATACCAGTTTGTCAAAAGCCAGATCTCATCTGATCTCAGAAGCTAAACAAGGCTGGGACTGGTTAATACTTGGATGAGAGACTGCTGGGTATACCAGGTACCACAATGGGTTGCCAGTTGCAAAAACTGTTGTGTCCTAAGACAAGGTACTTCAATCACATTGCCTAGTACAAAAGTGGTGTGTGCATACGTGCTCGTGGTGTTGGGGGGGCTGATGGCACAGATGCAAGCCTTGTTTATATCAGTCTGCCCCAGGACACCTGTGGCTTCAACAGTAGTTTACCACCACTGAATGTGGAGTGAATATTGTGCTTTAAAACCCCACTATGGCCTGGTGGTTTGGTAAAGCAAAATAAGATCATTCAGTCAATTGGACTAAATTTATACAGTTTCAGAAGGAAGGTGCTTCATCAGCTCTGACACAGTTCTTTTAGAAACTGGTTTACCTTTTTAAAAGGGAGGGAACTAGACTGAAGACCTTCGGATTATAGAGGTAAAATGTACTCACTCTAATAAGTTGGTCCAGTTGAATAAATCCTGAAGCCTTATTTTCTATAACCTCCTGGGCACTGAGGGCTTACACAGAATCATGTATTAATTATTAATGAATGAATCATTGCATTTATATAGTGCCTTTCATGACACCCAAAGCGCTTTACAGTGCATTATTCATTCACTCCACACTTGGTGGTAGTAAGCTATGACTGTTGCCACAGCTGCCCTGAGGCAGACTTAGAAAAGGAAGGCTGCCAGTCTCCACCATTAGCCCCTCCAACCATCATACAAACACAGTCGGCAATGTGGGCAGCCTTACTTAGTTTCTGAGATCTGACGAGATCAGGCTTTGACAAGGAGGTTTGGCCACATAATATTGTCACTATAATAGGATAGCGTGCCTTTTCTACATGAAGATGTTATTGTGTTACTTGGAGTGCTCCATAGTATGGCATTACCCTTATTTATCTCAAATAAGTTGAAGCAAGTTACCCCACAAGGCCAAGTTACAGGGTCAGATCTGTGGAGAAGCGAGCCCACTCACAGTAAGGTGCATGGAGTTGTATTGTCCAGAAAAAAAAAGAAAAACGAAACAGAGGACTTCATAGCAGGTAATATATATATTTTTTTTAATCTATACCCAGTCTAAACTACAAACAGGTCTAATTATCACTGCTACTATTTATTTTTTATTTTTTATTTTATTCGGGAGTGGAATTCTCCTTTTTTACACTAATCATCCAATAATACGGTTGAAATTTGATTAAATCTGAATGTATTATTCATAATTACTAGTGGTTATAGTTAATTACTAGACAGAAAAAAACAAAACACCAGGAAGTAGCTCATAATAGCACAGTTAATCTAAGGCGTGCAGGAAATATCTAAAACAACTGCCACAACTACTACTTCTACAGTGCTAAATAAACTGTGGCATGCTTGAATGGCATAAAATCTACTTGTACAAATAGGACTGTGCAACTACATATGCGTATTATTCTTCTAGAAGCTAATTCAAACCTACTACCCTCTACTTTAACCAGAATGACATGATGAAGGCCCATTTACTACTACTACTAATTGACACATTAAGTGTAGTTCCATAGACCTATTCAAATAGAAGCTGTAAACAAATAAGTGTGTTAGTTTCAGTGTCGTTTTAGTGTAGTCCGCTTCTCCCTTCAGGTAGTGTCCACGTCACTCTGACCAAAACTAAAGAAGCGGCTTTTGTCCGGATAGAATTTAATATTTCTTTTGATATGAATCGGCCCTGCACGACTGAGGGATTACACAGACGACTAATACTACTACTACTAGAGCTACTAATTAATAATATTTTTTTGCATATTATTCTTCAAGAAGCCTACACTAAACTAACCCTAAACCAGTACCTTGGCCACACTGACACATAAATAGCCCCATTTGAACTCTATGAAAGCGATAATAGACTTGAATAGTGTCAAATACTATGACTTCTATGAGTCTTACTACTACTACGAGTCCTACTACTACTACTAGCCCTATTACTACTACTACTACTACTAGTCCTACTATGAGTCCTACTACTACTAATACTACTACTGCTACTACTACGAGTCCTACTACTACTACTACTAGTCCTACTACTACTAGCTACTACTACTACTACTAGTCCTACTACTACTGCTACTACTCACATTACATTACCACAATTAATTCTTTACACTAAACATTAGCACTCCATAAAGCTATAATAGTAATCGCATTAGTAATCACACTAAATAATCTTAATTAATTCTGTAGAGTTATACAACAAAATATTACACAATTAGCTTTTTTTTTCTAAAACCTTGCCACGCTAACCCTGTCTCACCAATTGTACTTTCCACTTTACCCATAATGACATGATAAAGGCCCATTTGAGCTCCATAAAGCCCCTATAATAGCCACTATAATAGGTTTGAATGGCAGACTGAGCACATGAATAGCCTGTGTCTTTGTGTGAAGATAAATAAACTGAACGGATGTGAGTTTGAACCTCACCAAACCTGTCCTTCTGCTGCTTATGAGTATGAGCCAGAGAATACAGGTCTGACCAGAAGTGCCTCACGTCTCCTGACACAAACACTGCAAAAAAGGAAAAAATATAAGGGTTAAAGGTATACTCTGCAACATTTCTTGTGGAGACATTTCTGCTTATCTCCATGGAAATGTTATTGCTTTGTCTAGAGATCTGTGGAGAGTCGCCCCTATTCACGGAAGGAATTATTGTATTTTGGACCAATAGAAAAAAGGTAGTGAATAAATACTAGATAAATATGTTTAATGTCATAACATGCAATATTCCACAGAAAGCAATGACATCTCCATGGAGATAAGTAGGTAGCAGAAAAGTTGCACATTGCACCTTTAAAGTGACTACAACTCTATTAATATGAACTGAGCAGTTAGTTAGTAACGAGCACAGGGGATATTTAATTCCATGCTAAATAAGCTATAATTGGAATTTTGAAATTTTAATTAAATGAAATAGAAGAAATAAACTGTCTATGAAGTATTTTGAAACTTAGAGGTGCACTATGTAACTTTTTTGTTGAGAGTTCATCATGGCTATGTCATTGCCTTACCTGGAATGTTTCACAGTATGACATTAAACAGCTCCACTTTACATTTATTAAATTATAGGTGGTTTAATAGCTCAAAAATACCTAGAAAAACAGGCATTAAAAAGTTACACAATGCACCTTTAAGTAAAAGTACATTTACATTGCACAATTACAAGTACAAGTACTGTTGCCAAAAAAATAAAAATAAATAAAAATGAATTCATGAATTCATGAAAAATACCACTCACTTTTTTAAATAAACAAAACCTTTAAAGTTTTTAGCCAAAAAATCGACTAAAATGAAAGCATGTGTGTTTGTGTGTTGTTTTCTTTTTGTTGTGTTTATTGTATTGAAAATGATGTATAATATAATACTCCGCAGTATATCTTTTTTTATGTCTCTTTTTATTTCTAATGGTGCACTCAGCTTTTTGCATATATTTTCCCAATATGGTTTTTAACTACAAATGGCAAATAAACTAACATAACTTAACCTAATCTAATCTAACCTAACGTATTTATCTCCATGGAGAATGTTGAAAGGAGGCTATGGTTTTAACCTATGAATGAGTAGCCGTGAGACCAACATGACTTGTAATTTCTATGTATATAATCTCATATATAACAAATGTAATACACAAATTTTTGCAGTGCACTTTTGTGATGAAGCTGCAGGGGGCGTGGTCTGAGTCATTTCTCATTTGTTTCCCAGTTTAAAGATATTTACATTTAAACTGACTCAGACAGATCAGAGTTAGGGCTAATTTAAAGTGGCTATCAGAAGTCAATGAAATACACCCCTCAAAACCATATCAGTAGATCTCTTATTTTTGTCTGGTCAAGATTAAATTAAAGTTACATTACACAATAGAGTAAAGGAGTCCTCTGCATTTGACTTGTGCCTCAGTGTCACTGGGGCTAAACATCTCAAGAGCAGAAGGATGATAGTCTACTTACTGTGCATGAATTAGATTGATGGGGAAAGCCCAGGACTAAAGCATGGAAGTTCAAATGCAGCAGACATATTTCTCTAGTGCTCCTTAAAGATGAGGGTCTGCTACCATGGAGATGCCATTCCTTTGCATGTAATGTTCCACAACATGATATTGCACTTAAGATGCACTTATTTGATTATGGGTGTTTTTATTGCTCAAAAATACCTTTAAAACATGAATTCTTGCTGTGAGTGGGGGCACCTCTTCACAGTTCTCACCTATAAATTGTGCTGGTTAGAGTCTTTTGCTTGTTTCTATGGAGATTGAAAAGTTTAACACCATACTTTTGCATATTGGAAGTAAAGCAAAAACATCTGCATGAATACAAGTAACTGGCAGGCCCTCTACCAAACAAGTTATACAGTGCACCTTTAAGCTTGACAATTAAAGAGCCTATGTTATGCTATATGTTTTGTTTTGTTTCATTCACACATTTAAAACACAAACCCTGCATATTTAGGCTGAGTTCTTCTTTTAAACAGAAAACATATGTGATGTAATATGGTAAAACTAGAATTTTTAATCTCCATACACCTTCACTAGAATTATTAGGAGGATTTTAGCTGTAGAAGGTAGCTGTTAACTTGAATTCCACCACTACATGACATCACAAGGTGGACAGAACCTTTTGAGTTTGGAAATGTAAACAGATTAATAATGAAGGATTATGTGTGAATGGAACAAAACACAACTCCATGCATATTTTTGTTCATTATCACATGGCTTAAAGCTCACAGAAGTCAGTATTGTGTAATATGGGCCCCTTAAGTATCTTGGCAAAAACTGGGTCACCAACTTGTATAAGGTGTTCGTTTCATCACAGAACATGATAAAAGGTAGATTTGTCCTTGTAAAGATGAAGTCATAGTTATTGTGCTGAGCAGGTTGTGTTGCTAGTATTAAAATCACAATTGTAGGAGTGTGTGGGGGTGTAACAGCAGTATCTTTTACAAAGCCAGAACAACCGTTTGGGAATGACGTGTGGCTTCGTCCACTGAAATCTCCCTCTCTGATTGTACCTGCAGATAGAAGGTAGATTACGTTACTACTAGAACGCTTTGTAGCAGCTAAGCTAGTTTTGCATTATGCTTTGATAAGACAAGTGCGTCACTGGGTCATGTTATAAGATTTAACTTAATCTGAATATCTGTTAAGGTTTTACAGTTGCAAGAAAAGGGTCCATGATTTGTTAAAGATGCACTTTGTATCTTTTCTGGTGGAGGGTATGTCGGCTTGTCACCATGGAGATGTTACTGCTTGATTTATGTGTTATAATTGCTAAAAAAAAAAAAAAAAAAATCCTTTAAAAAAACATGCATGCTTACTGCAAGTGGGCTCGCCTCTCCACAGATCTGCTGTAACTCCACCAGAAAGGTACCAGTGACCACACTATACTTCAACACTAATTAGGTTAAGTTACATGCAGTTTGGACTATTATGGACAATACCTGCTAGACATGGCAGGATTAGTGGACAGAACAGAGGTACCTTTGGAAGTTCAAATAATAATTAACATTATGGTAGAATTTATTTCTATTATTCTGTGACATTGTTTAGTCCTCACTTAAACCTGGTTCAGTCCTTGTTTAAAAAACATTGTGAATAGTGTGCTTGAGCCTGCTCTTTAGTTATAATCTTCATCACAACAAATACCAGAGAAGTTGTTTGCCCATCCTATAGATAGCTGCTAGTGAGGTTTTTAAAACATTTTTTTTTTTTTTATCAAAAATGACTATGTGAATCACCAATTAAGAAAATAAAACTGGAGAAGGAAGCAATGGGGAAAATGGAGGTTGATCTGCAAAATGGCGTCTTGAAAATAAGATCAAACACGCACGAATCACATCAAATACAATGTCAAAAAGGTAAATGAGAAGTGGAAACAACTATAACATGGTTACAAGCTCTGAAAAGTCAATTTTGCTTAATACGTCTGCTTTAAGCCTGGCTCAGTTTATTTTTAGATCTGGTTTGGTCCCATAATTGTATGTTAAGCCTCTGGATTTACTTAATTTTCAAATTCATTTAATGCAAATTTTGAATTCGCCTTTCAGTCCTGGTTTAGTCCAAGACCTAGACCAAGTTTTACCTAGGCTATAGTTCTAAATCATGAGTCAAGTCTTGATTCAGACCTGGTTTAGTCCTGAGTTACCTCAGGCCATTTATAATACATTTACCATAATGAAACCTCATGCTTTAATATTCATGTTACATTCAAATTGCATCTTCTCTTGTGTGTAGTCACTAAACATAAGGACAGCCTTATCGTAGAGGCTGGGAGGGACTTTTTGCAGATTCAAATCCAAACTGCCTTCGTGTTCCACCTGTTCCTTGGTTTTGGGATGTGAGAGCCAGATAAACCGTCACACTTTCAGACAATGCACCTGTATCTCCTCTGTCAGCAGCTGTTAGCTTAGCCCCATTCACCGCAACAAAGACAACACAACTCGATCTGGAGTTTTTCAGTAACTGGTGCTGAAAACGTGCCAAGATGGTGTCTGTCAGGAATTACTGTACAAACATGACGGTGTAACTCATAGCTTTTGAATGAGGCATAGTGTTAAGGAGATTACAATGATGTTGCACTGGTACCAAGCAAAAAAGATTTGATGACTACTATGACTTACTACTATGACTAGTAAATGTATTTATATTTGTTGGTCCTATGTTACTAATGTATTTTAATTATTATTTAATAATTTAATTACTATTAAGGGCGGTTCATAAACATCTGTAAAAGTTACAGTGGTAAACTGATAATATTGTACAATTTTCTGATTTCTGGATAACAGCGGAAAAATATCAATTATTATTATGATTATTGTTTTAAGAAAGGGACACTACATAACATCTCGGGTAAGATTTACCAAGTGCCTAAATGCGTGCCTCTTATATTGCCTAGAATGTTTCACAGTGTAGCTTTAATCCTCCATCTATCTCTGTCTACATAGAGACAAACCAGTGACGCCATCACGACTACTCATAGGTCAGATTTGTGGAGAAGAGACCCCACTCAGGATTTATGCTTTTTAAGGAAATAAAAGCATCTGTAAATGCATAAATACAAGATAGAGTGTATTTCATGCTCTGCAGTGGAACATTCTAGAAATGCAGACAACTCCATGGAGAGAACTAGCTGACAGACACACCACCATAAAAATATTACAGTGAAACTTTAAATCAGGTTCTTTTTGTAGTGCAGTTTGAGTATCTCATTGCCTATTATTACCAACGTGCTGTCATAGTCATGATAATAATGGAGTTACTGGCCTGTTATTAAAATGATGACTCAATTAGTTGCAATTTGCGAACTAATAATGTTAATAACAGCTGTAACAGTAACTTCTGCTGGTTTAAAAATGGAATTAAAATTACAACTTAACCTGCCAAAACTGCTGTAATGAGAACACATTATATCCTAATAGAAACCACTGGATCTGGCCCCTGAAAATGAGAAGCTTGTGCTGTTTTCTGATTGGATAATTGGCTAGAAAATGGATTATTGAAATTTTAACCTTCACATTATGTACCTTTCTGTTTTTGTAATTGTAAATAAATTCAAGTAATTAAAGGTGCATATGGTAGTTCACTACTGGAAATTAGGACATCACACTAGAAAAGTATGAAACTACCTAGCAACCATATATGAAACTGTGCCTTGATAGGTATTAGGGTTGTTAAAAGTACTGATCAGATACAAATCAATACTAAAATTAGAATCAAAGAAGAAAAAATCAACTCATTTGAGCAACTAATAAAGTCATATTCTCCCAACAGAAATGAACATTTCCTGAATAGTTTTAGAACGATCTTGAGCTGTATCAGAACAAGTATAAGAGCACATAGATTAGTTTATGCCCATGGACCACTACAGAACCTACGTGGACCACTGAGGGATGACACAGATATAAGAGCACATGATAATATAAAAGAAAGTACTACCATTTAATGCTGAAAATCACATTCTATTGCCTTAAAAAAGAGTGTTATTTTTTTCATTGCGGTATCTGAATTGGTAGTATTGAGTCTATTCCTTTGTATTGAAACTTGAGTTTGAAATTTTAGTATTGCGACAACACTAGTAGGTATAAAACTTTATTTTTTTATTTACACCAAGTTTTATCCCACCAAATTAAGTCAAAATCCTGAAACATGAAAAGTTGTCACATGCACTTAAGATATGAGAAGTTTTTGGTGGGTGTAATAAACTCTACAGGAGGCAAAGAGGCCCCTCCCTTATTTCTCAGTGGGGTCCCTAAGTGCAGCTCTCTCTCCATAATTCAGGTATTCTCCAACACAGCAAGAGGATTGCTAACTATGCTAATGTCAAGCTAATGATCAGGTTTTAAAGGAGGGTCTGATATGCTGTCAAAAACAGACTGTATTTTTAAGAGAATACGTAGAGGCCATAATCTATTTAGTCCAACGTGTAGATTATAGTCATTTTGGTGGGAGACAGAATAACTGGCATTGGGTCACACATGCCTCAAGTTAAGCATGATTAAAGAGGGACTATTACACTTCTATGGGGTATTAACTGCTAAAACATAACAAATTTAGATCACCATGTCACCTTGTAATGTTTTGAAAATGCTATATTTGCTGAAAACTAACATATTAATATGTTTAAAAACTTTCTCTTTCATTTTTGAGTCCCCCCTCCCCTTGCTTACCATGCTAAGTCAATCCCCCTTCAGAGCGCTATCACAGTGCTCCACAGTATGACATTAATATTATCTTTTTCCATCAAGACAAGCAGGTGTCACCACCAGGCATAGATACAAATGAGACCTGTGGAGAAGTGACCTCATTCACAATACAGCTATGCATTTATAGGTTTTTCAACACAAACAAATGTAATTTAATAAGGTGAAATTAGATATGTTTATGATATACTTTGGAACATTCTAGTCAGAACAATAATATTTCCATGGAGACAAGAGGGTGGTGGACTCATTCCTCACTTGAAAAGTTACATAGTGCACCTTTAAACATTCTCTTTTTTGCAGCAAGAAAAGCACATCATCTCATACTGGGTCTTATAAACTTGCCTGGATGTACACTTTACACTTTACCCCCCCTGGTGGTGAGAGCCCCTTACTGCAGGTCCAGTCTCATTATGAGGGCCTCTGTGGGGGTCCAGGTTTATTGGCCCTGAGGTGTCGCCCCCCTCTGGTCCCGAGAGCCAAGGATACACTCAAATCACTTCACACCTCTCTGTTTTTATAATGGGTTTATTGTTTTTGTAAGAACTCAAACAGGACTAAAGTAGGACTAAACTAGGACTGTTAAGATCTTGAGACTGGTGAAATGCTATAAGTCTAATTAGTGTGTGCATGTCAACATTACACAAAAAAGTAGAATTTAAAGGACCTGTTACTGATTTTTGAAACAACTGTCTGGGTCTGGGGCAGTCACAGGCAGTTGTTTCTGTAAGGTTCTGTCCCCATTCATTTCTGGTTGATGTGCCACATGTTTAGGAAATATTAGTCTAATTTATAAAAAAACAAACAAAACTAAACTTTTGTTTATGTATGCTGACAGAGAATATGTAAAATGTTGAGCCAGTTTTGTTTCAAGTAAATAGACCCAGAAATTGCAGAAACAAATTCCATCATTCTGACATGTCCTCCAGCTCAGTTTAAAGGGCCCATGTTACACTGTTGATCTATGTTATAGTGTTTCATCATCAAAAACATACCTGGAGTTGTGTTTTGTTTCATTCACACACGTTTAACACACAAACCTTGCATGTTTAGGCTTAGTTCCTTTCTCAAACGGACAACCACCTTGTTCCACCTTCTGATGTCATGTGGCAATACAGGAAGTGCTTCAATGTGTTAAACTCCATATATCTTCACTAAACTCATTTGGATCATTTCAACTCTGGAATTGCCAATCTCTACTGAATTCAAGGTAAAAGGTAGCTATGAACCAAACTACCGCTACATGACATCACAAGGTGGAACAGAGCATTTTGAGCTTTGGAAATGTAGATAATAATAATAAAACGATGCTCAAACATATATTTGAGTAAAACAAAACACAGCTCCAGGTATGTTTTTGTGGAGGTAACAACATTATAACATGGCTTAAAGTTCACCAGTCAATTGTGCGTAATATAGGACCTTTAAACTATAGGGATTCTAAAATGTTGTGATGCCTCGTGACCACAACCCACCCCAAATTATTTCAGCTTAAGTTTATGTTGATTTAGTGGCTATTACTATTAGTGGCTATCACTATTTTAGTGTTTTGTTGTTTTTTTTTTGTTTCAACATATATTTTCCTTACTTTCAATCAAAAAGACCTCAAATGCCTGTATTCCCGTCTCTATAGCTCACACTCACACATACAGGGGGACAGGGGCCAATCTTCACAGCTGCTCGACGCCTCTAGAGCTAAAAGTCACACCACAGTGCTTTTTCTGTTGCCATGGGAGCAAAGGTTCACGCAGCAATGAGCGGGAACTGACACCAACTGAAACTAAAACAGAGGAGAAACAAATGTCAGTTAAAATTATATATATCAGAGCCTTTTACATTGTCCATTGGAGCCACAGTTATGAGGAACACATCATCATACCATATTATCCCTCCACAATTCCCATTTTAAAGTTGTAAAAGAAATCTCTAAAAACGAAGAAGGAAGTGGATGAAGGAAAGATGTCTGTGTTTTAATCTGGCCTTTTACAGTTCTGTATTATATCCCTTTGTAGTCTCACCTGCCTAGGGACAACAGATGGGAATTATAATTTTTGCTATAATCTGGCATATTTAAACTGTAATTACAGATGTTAATTAATATGCATTTTCCTTATCAATAATATCATTATATATATACAATTTTATCAGAAACTAGGTCAACAACACAGATCATTGCAATCAAACTGTGAAACTGACAATCCAAAGACACCATCTCCTGTTGATCAAGAAAAGTGTTTTGTTTGTTGTTGGCAGTTATACTTTGCCTGGGGACAGTTGGAAACTAGCTCTACAGCTACATCTTATTAATGTGCATCATCCTCATTCAAATAAAACTAATAAATAAAATCCACTCCCATAACAAACCAAGGTCTAAATCTGGGTTATAACAACTAACTAACCCAACATCTTAGACTTACCCCAGACTTACAGGGAGTTATGAATGTACATTAGAAAAAGGAGGAGCTCAGATTAGAGACTGTATATGTAAATAGCCTTTATGGCCCAGATTAGTTTATAATGTATTTATTTCAATGGAGCAGGTCATCACTGGGGCATCTAGAGCAGTAGATTTACCTCCAGTTAGGAAATGTCACTTGCAGTTCCATACAATAGAAAAAGACAAAGCATAATATTGAATTCAGAATAAGAGTTGAGCAAAAAATAAAAAAATACCCTCCATTCCCTGGGGTGATGTTGTTGGCATTGCTCTGTCTGAAGCTCTGTAACTGTTAGACTTTAATGTAAACTTTGTTTAAAAACAATCTAACCATAAAAAACTGACATAGCTGGAACTACAACTGGAACTTGATGTCACTGCGAAGTATAAACGAGTTAGGCAAAATAAAAGCTGGCACTGCCCTCTGTTGGAGAAAACACAAAGCAGCAGCAGATTTCGGATAAAATGTTTATTAAAATATGTAATAAAATTGAGAAAATACTTCTAAGAATCATATTAACACAAGTACTAATACAAAAAAATATAAGATTAAATGGGTAGGTCACAGCAGGTTAGCACTCTCACTCACAGCAAGAAGGTTCATAGATTCAGTTCTAAGAAGAGGTGAGACAGTTTTATCAAGTTTAGACATTCAAACAAAAGCATGCACCATAATAATAATCAATGCTCATATTCAACATCCTGGCTCAGATTGGGAGAATAATGCCCCGTGGTTCCCCCAGCAGAATTGAAGGAGTGGTCAAATGAAGGGGACACATTTTTCTATAGGGACAATATTATTTATCTTAATTTCAATACAATATAAGAAGTATTTGCACTTGGTTAAAATAAATAAAATAATTACAGGTAAATGGCACTAGTAGACAATTCATTAATTAATTAAAACACACATTATTTAATTTATAATCATGAGCACTTGCACAGAATCTCCTGACAGCTTTTATAGACTTTCACCAAGCAGTTCAGTCTCGGCTTGGAACTCTGAAAGACAAATAAAACATTAACTCAACATACTAAATAAGAGAAATGTTTAAAATGATAATATGCTGAGGATATATATGTATCTGTATTTGCAAAACTATTTGATGATTTAGATAATTTTGATATGCTGACCTATTTGGCCTAGGTACCAAAGTGTTTGCTAATGTAATCCAAACTTACCGGTATTTTAACTGCCATAAATAAAGGAGAAAAAATACCCTACCAACAGATACAGAAGCAGCAATATATTCTAAGTCCTATAGTAGCTTGTCAAAACAAAGTCAATATTGACAAGCAGTGTTAAATCAAAAGTTGTTTTTTTCTACCTGAAACAAAGGTACAACGCCTGAGACAGCGTTTGGGTCGGAGGGGTCCTTCAGCAGCACACACAGGTAATAAATGATCTGATGCTGGGAAAACAAATACACATTTATATTACTTCAGAGATTGGAGGAGGTGATTGAAAATAATTATTTCCTTAAATGTGAATGGTGATATAATAATATAAAATCTCTTATGTCGTATCCTTATATTTCCTTACCACATCTCTTTTTTATATTGACCATGTGATAATTTCTTTTTTTTCTTTTTTAAGTATACAATAATAATATTGAACCTTTCCTAACTGTGGCCATGTTACTATCATTGTTCTAAACACTAGCCCTGATTTGTTGCCCTTTCAGACCGAATGTAGACTTGGTTTGGTTCTGTTCTAGTCCTGGTTTAGTTTGGTTCCAGGTTTAGTCCCAGTTTATTCACAAACGTGATGTTGTTTATGTGCATGTGTGTTTAAACAGTAGAGGCCATGGCTCATTTACACTGAGACGCACCATGTAGATGGCTTCGTTGATGACAATGTCCTTGATCTTGCTCATCTCAATGAAGGAGCAGGTTTCGCGTCCTGAAGCATAGCTGTACGAAACCTGGACCCCCAAAGACCCAACAACCAAGAGTGTTTCATGATCCACCTTCACAAAGTGGATAAAAACCATCATCCCCAAAAGAGTGATCAGGATGGCAGTGCTCAGGATGGCTGTGTTCTGAAAACCACAGGGACAAATGATGAATTAATTATATTTTAATACGTTTCTACAGTCATAAAATATGAAATATTCTGAATAGGGAAAAATAATCACAAAAGCCTTCGTATCAAACTCGTGTACAAGTAGGTGATGCCACCTTGTATTGTTTGCAATAAAGTATTTTAACACAAATGTAATGCCTTATTGTGAAACACTCCAGGCAAAGCAATATAACATAACCATCGAGACAAGCAGGTAGCGCCACAGCTGACCCTCCACCAGAAATCTTGCATTTTGCACCTTAAGTATTTGTCATAAGGTATACAGTCAGAGTAATTCATGTTTCTGATGAATAGACAGAAGTATAGAAGTTATAGAAAGTTTATATAATAGAAGTTTATTTTTACTTGTTAATATATGCATGGCCTATTCTATGGTAATAACAGTAACATATTGGCAACCATAATTCATATCTGTCCTTGCCATTCCATGAAGCAGACAATTCAATAAATTGAGAACAATTCCAGTTAGTGTTTTGAAGACTTTTTGACCCCCAGACCCACAAAACCCAATTAATTTTTGACATTTTGGCTGGCAGATTTGTAAATCCCTTGCACTATACATAAACTACATTTAAATAGAATATTTATATGTAAACTTACGTGTATGAAGAAAAACACCGCGTATGCAACCAGCCACACTGTGCTGGTATAGCCCATAACTTTCCAAAATGAGACTTTTGGAGAGCTCACCACGTATTCTCTGCAAAAACTACTGTGATCCTGGCAGTCCAAAGTTATCACTTTTCCATTTATGTCGGTAAACACCTCTTCTTCCATTGCAATTACAAAGAGGAACGAATATTTGACTGATGTTTACAGTGGAGCTAGCTGTAGAGACAGGCTAGCATCGAACTAGCTATCAAGCCAGAAAGACCAGATTACTCAAGTTTTTTTGACATGTATTTTGTAAAATTATGCAATATATGTATATTTACGTAACAATAAACACTTCCTCACGCTTAAAGTATGTCAGATTCGTTATGTTATGAGCATAGTTGAGCAAAGTTTCATTAGCAAATGTCATTTATTTGAACTCAAAAGGCTAAACCAAAGGTGTGTTCGTTTCCTACACGGTGGCGTCCTGGTTTTACCGAAACTTGTATTTTGACGGTGAGTTTGGCTAATAAATTAGTTAAAATATACAACTAACCCTGCTAAATATTATCAGGAGTATAACACATGCGTAAATCAATGTATATTTTAGGTTTTACTCATTCGTTTTGGCCATAAATGTCTGGGCAAGATAGTTCATAATTCAAGCGTACTGTTTTGCGGCTAGTTGAAGCAAGTCTTTATGGGAAATCTTTGTTTGTATTTAAGATTTTACTAACTAAAAGTTGCCACTATTACTGTTACAACATACAAATAGCGTAAACTTAATTAAAAACTATCAAAGTATATTATTAAACTGAAAAATATTAAAAACTAGGTATGGTAATCGTTATCACCACGCTAATCCAAATTCAGAAAGACTTCACTTCCCAAGATGCACTGCGCACTCACGTCCTCTGACCTCTGCTTAAAAACAATCTGATCAGCTGATGTAAAAGCGACAACAAACAACAAATCCGGGGCTTGAATACAAAAAGAAACGCCAGCCAACTTTGTCCTCCCCTCTGACACTTTATCCGGGGCTGTAGATCGATGTCCGGAGCATAATTTCGCATTTTTATCCGCTGTCGTGGCAGATTTTTACTCATTTTGTAATAGCCGCTTGCCTGTCGGTCTGTTGTTTGCCTCTGCTAGGTCAGTCGACTAATTTAAGCTTGTATTTCGCAACTGAACTAAAATAGATTGTGTAATTAACAATTTATGAACTAGTTACTGTTATAAAAAGTACAGTATTGTTTACACGACTTGTCATTCGATTTCAAGGAATAATTTTGTTTATAAGTGACAAAGGGCTGAGTGGCTAATTTTAGCTAGCAGTTGTTGTGCCAACTATTTTGCAATTATTATTTTGAAGTAGCTGTTAATAACTCACTATCTCAACAATCTAAAAGGCGTATGACGTTTTACTTAGTTTAATATTGTAATAACTTAGCAATAGTTTTACAAAGTACAATAAGAAATGCTTTATTTTAATTCTTTTGTTTATCTTTTTTTTCCAACAGTGACTGGCAGGTTTGTTTACATCGGATGCCCTTCCTTTTCCCCTGTTACATGACTTTGACATGATGGAGCTCACTGAAAACAAGTGCCAAACTGTAATTATGTATAATTTCAAATGTGGCCTTTAAAATTCAAAAAGTGATCAATAATAGCTGTGTAATAATAATAATGTCTTCCAATGGACATTATTTAGTCCAAAATTGATTAATAGTTAAATGAATTGTGTCTTTTTTTTTTTTTTTAATAATTTATTAGTTATTCATTTAACCTTTATTTCACCAAGATAGTTCCACTGACATTCGGAACTATTCTAAATGTTTTAGTAACAAGTGAAATTCCTAAATGACTGAACCATACCAACTTTATTTATAAAGCACTTAACAAAACTTTACAGCTGGTCAAAGAGCCATACAAAAACATTGAATAGACAAAGACAACCACAAGTCAAAGTTACTCAGGTTAATTAATAACAACAATTCTACAGCTCATCTGTCAAAAGCCAGTAAGAAAAGGCACATTTTTGGAGTGGTTTAAAAACAGGTAGAGCCAGTTGAATGTCTAATTAGCACAGCTTCAGTGAGCAATAAAGTCAACTGTGAACGATGAGCGGTCAAGGTTCATGTGTAGATAAAGGCATGAACACCGTATTAGTTTGTCAGGAGAGTTATGCGTGTGGAGGATCAGATGAGGCAGCTTTTGAGTGCGATGAATGTGGGAGTCTGCAGTGCACTCGGTGCGAACTAGAGCTCCACCTACAAGAGAGGATGAGGAACCACGACCGGGTTCGGATCGCACCCGGCCATGTGCCATTTTGCGATTCCTGCAAAGGGGATGGGAGCTACGCCGGGAGCAACGGAAGACTGCGGGCCGCGGTGAGATGCCAGGTGAGTGACGATGTGTGAAACATTAGTGATGATACCTTTCAGCTGATGTCATCAACATTCCTTGGGAGGTGAAGCTAACTGGAGGCACTGCTCTGTCTGAAGCTTTGTTACTCAGGTTTGACTTTGTTTTAAAGCAGAAACTAACTTTCAGTGATAGAACTCCCCTTGCAGCTCCTTTATGAGAATACATTGTCACGAGCAGACTCAAAAAGAACAGTTTTTAAATTTTATTTTAGTTTTATTGAAGTAATACCGTATAATCACATACAAAAATTAGAGCCAGAGTTTCCCAGTAGAATTCTCTTGGGATCAGGTGTCAGCCATATTTACTTTCCACTCTGAGACAGAAGAGGAAGACCACGGGCACTTCAAACACCCCACAGGGACTTACAAAGACCTAGGGTTAGAGGGTTAGGGTTAAATAAGGTAAAATATTACTTAGTTCTGCTTTAACACAATCTGTCCATAAAGGAATGAAAAATAAAGAAATAGTTGACATTTATGAAGGCACCTCAGTCTTCTAACATAGAAGTCACTGGACTTGTTTATTTTATGAAGTTGTTTAAGATGAATATTGTGATTACAAATGTGCAAATTATAACTATATAGCAAACACAAGCACAATAATATCTTCTTTAAAGTGGTTTCAAAGCATGGTTGTCCCTTTTGGTGAATATTTAGTCACTCAGGCCCCATCCTTTCAAATGCAATTAAATCTGATGATATTACTTTAGATTTTTTTATCCAACTGTGAAATTTCTATAATCATTTTATAAGTCAGATCGATAAATCTTGACTTACCTAATTCCAGGGATGCAAGATCAACCTGTGCTTGGACTGCCAGAAGAGAACGCATGGAGGAGTGAATAAGAAGAAGCATCCTTTAACGGCATATCCTCCAGTTCAAACCTCAAAGGAGAACATCGACGCAGACTCAGATGCGGAGAGTCTCAGAGCAGCTCTAGAGAAGGTCACAAGCTTCCTATTAGTCGACGAAAAGGAGGAGATGCAAGTAAGTGAGAAAGCCTGTTTTGATACTTTGCAGTGACATCATCTGGGGGGTCTCTCTCTCTCTCTCTCTCTCTCTCTCTCTCTCTCTCTCTCTCTCTCTCTCTCTCTCTCTCTCTCTCTCTCTCTCTCTCTCTCTCTCTCTCTCGCTCTCTATCTCTATCTCTCTCGCTCTATCTCTATCTCTCTCGCTCTCTATCTCTATCTCTATCTATCTATATATGGCGGAATGTTCATCAGTTACCATGGACTTTTGGCTAATGCTATCTAGCTTGTAACTGTAATTTTATCTGTGAGAGACTCATTGTAGTTCCAACTAAATCAGCTCTTTCTGGTCACATTGTGTTAAATCGAAGCTCAGATTAAAGTCTCATAGAGCTTCAGACAGAGCAATGCCTACAGTTAGCATCACACCCCCAGAGAATGTTGTTGACATCAGCTACAAAGTATTAATATAGTGTTGCATTCTTTCCCATTCCTCAGGTAAAAGATGAGGAGGACTTTGTGAGCAGACTGGGCTGTGGACCAGAGGAGCTGCTCAAAGTTGTATCTATCTTTGGAAACACGGGTGAAGGGAAGTCCCACACTCTGAATCACACCTTCTTTTTGGGGCGAGAGGTTTTTAAGACGTCCCCGGCTCAGGACTCGTGCACAGTGGGAGTCTGGGCAGCTCTGGACCCTGTGCGTAACGTGGTGGTCATCGACACAGAGGGACTGCTCGGAGCTGGTATGAAGATGGTTTTAGTTTCATTTCAATAATCCATTGCAAAAAATATATTTATGGGGTAACAGTACAAAAACAAATCTGAAAACTCTTAGTCGTAGTCGTATTAGTAGTAGTAGTAGTAGTAGCAGTGGTAGTGTTAGTAGTAGTAATTTTATTTTCATATTATATATTAAAATCCTCAAAGGAGCCACCCTTTGCTTTGTCGATGTAGACTAAGTGGAGTTATTTAAAAACATTTTTCGACTATATAATTCCATATGTCTCGCATCATATGTTTGATATCTGCTGTATGTATCTAAAATGTAGAAAGCAGTAAAAAAAAAAAAAGCATGTGTCTAAACTTTTGACTGGCAGTGTACATGAGGTAATAAACTATACATAATTTAACGGTGAAGGAGAAAAGGCATTTCTTTACTGTATACATGACTTTTTATCTTAATCTGAATAAATGTATTTGTTGAATAAAGTAGTAAGTACAACAGAACAAAAGAGAAAAAAATAACACAAACATGAAAATTCTAAATTCAAGTCATAATTCAAGTTAGTTAGTATTTTTTTTACAGTGTACTCACAGTTAATAGTACCTTGTTTGGTTTTTAGGAGCCAATCAGGGCCAGCGTACTCGTCTGCTGCTTAAAGTTCTGGCCATCTCTGATATGGTGATCTATCGAACTCATGCGGACCGTCTCCATGATGACCTGTTTAAGTTCCTTGGCGATGCTTCCGAGGCGTATCTGAAACATTTCTCCAGAGAGCTGAAGGCCACGACAGCGCGCTGTGGTCTGGACGTACCTCTGTCCACTCTGGGGCCTGCTGTGGTCATCTTCCATGAGACTGTGCATACAAAATTACTGGGCTCAGGTACAAACAAACACACTATACAAAAGAATATCTGCTAAAATTACCTGAATTCTAAGACTGGACAATATACGAAACTGCTTTTATCAGTGGTGCAGTTATTAAAAAGCAGAAATGATTTTCGCAATAGAATGTCCTCTGCAAACAGCAAAACATTTAGAATATTTGTTAAAGAGCAAAATCGACTTTTCAGAGCTTTTAATATTATAGTAATTTCCCCCCATGTACTCACCCAAAATTGTATTTGGAGTGATTTGTGCATGTTTAATTGCTTATGTTCGCCCAGTGCTCTGTACTTTGTTCTCCAATTTTATTTTCTTAACCGGTGATACACGTAGGATTTGACAGTGTTGCAAAAAAAATTCCACAGTTTGCTTGCATGATGTGCAGCTATCCATAAGTTATGATTAACATCTGAGTGAATGTTTGGTGGTTCTAAGCAGTTATTCAGTATTCCACTTCACTCTTGTTTCCTCTCAGATAAACCATTAGAATCAGCTGACCGCCTTCTTCAGGAGCGGTTCAGGAGATTGGGGCTGTTTCCGGAGGCGTTCAGTTCAGTTCAGTACAAAGGGACTCGAACCTTCAACCCTCCCACAGACTTCACAGGACTCCTGCGTTGTTTAGAGCTACAGCTTGATAACAACAACACACGCTCCCCCAGATCTGCCACTGTCATCTACAAGGCTCTGCAGGTGAGGCTGATACTGTGTAACAGGCCAAGGGGGGATCAGGAGCAGGTGGTCTTTTGGAGACCGTCTCCCTGTTTATTAAGAACAGAGACAGTGCCTGAGGGGGAATGCACATATTTATAGGGCAGATTTATTGGACATGGCACATCATTTAGTCCCTTACAACTGTATAGAGTTAAACATTTTAGCACATTCTTATTGTTGTCCTCTCCTGTTCAGGCCCTGAGTGAGCGCTTCAATGGGGAGATCCAGGACGAGCACCTGAACAGCACCTGCTTCTTCCCTGATGAGTATTTCACCTGCTCCAGCCTCTGCCTCAGCTGTGGGTATGGACTGTCTCTTTTACACTCACTTTAATGTGTAGGATCATTTAGCCTGGCAGAGCCAGATTACTCTCTGTATCAGTTTGTATCAGTTTGTGGTTAATGTGACGATTTTCTTTGAGCTAAAGCTCACTCTGTAAGATGTGTGTATGACGTCATAGGTCTGGTTGCAAGAGCAGCATGAACCACCTGAAGGAGGGTCTGGGGCACGAGGCCAAACATCGATGTCGATACTCTGCTCAATACGACAATCGCATCTACACCTGCAAGGTCTGAGCTCCCTATAGCTTCAATCTAGGAAGCAAAGCATTATATGAATTTGTAATTCTTTGTATTACATATTTTTATTGAAAGAGTATACTTGCACTTGTGCACACATATTTAGATTGGAGTATAATCTCATTATGATCCTTAGTTTTCCTCAGAGTCCCCAAATTTTTATTTAAACTCCCTTTTCTTTCAGGCTTGTTATGAGGGAGGGAAAGAGGTGATTGTCGTCCCCAAGACCACTGCTTCCTCAGACTCACCGTGGTTTGGACTGGCCATTTATGCTTGGTCTGGGTAAGTTTAATTTAGTGCAGCCAAACTATAAGATCAACCCTCATACATCAGCTCTAATCTGTAGTAATTGGGTGTAATGATATTAAATTTGTTTTGTTGTTTTATTTTTTGTGTTTTTGTAGTTATGTGATAGAGTGTCCAAACTGTGGCGTGATCTACCGGAGCAGACAGTACTGGTACGGAAACCAGGACCCAGTGGAGACTGTGGTCAGAACAGAGATACAGCACATCTGGCCTGGGGTGAGGAATTCAACGATGAAAAAAACCTTACAATTCAAAAATAAGAATGTTTCATCTCTCATTTAAAGGAAAATGGGAGAATCTGAAATCAGTTTCAATCACATGAGTTATTCCTGTTATAGACACCATTTTGAGAACGTTTGAATTCTAAACTTAAATATTTTATCCTATCTCTGGCACAGACACAGAGGCTGTTGGATTTACAGTGCAGTAATTTTGAATCTGTATTATTTTTGCCTTGTCTTTTCAGTGTGATGGTTTCTTGAAGGATCACAGTAACGCGGCACAGAGACTGTTGGATGGAGTGAAGCTGATTTCTCAGTCTGTCTCTGAGCTCAGCGTGACTCCGGCCAAAGCAGTGACATCATGGCTCACGGATCAGATCGCCCCCGCGTACTGGCAACCCAACTCCAGTATACTGGTGAGACTTATATACACTAAACTCTGTAATACTGGTATCCTCTGATATATTATTGTCTCTAGGGAGATGTTGTTGCTTTATGGTGTTATGGTCCTATATTTTTCCATTCACACATGTGTGAGTGATCCTGCATTATTAGTCTGTTTACATCTCCAAAGCTCAAAATGCTCAGTTCCATCATGTGATGTCCTGAAGCAGTATTTCTAAGTTAACAGTGACCTTACCTTTAATTTAATAGAGACTGACAATTCCAGGACTGAAATCACCCAAATGATTCTAGTGAAAGTGAGTGGAGTTTAAAAACACAGTGGAGCACTTCCTGTACATGACATCACCAGGTGGAAAAGAATGTTTTCTCTTTGACAGAAGAACTTAGTCTAAATATGCAGGGAAACAAAACACAACCCCGGGTACATTTGTAATGAGGAAACAACATTATAACATAGATCAGAAAATTGCATAAAATGGGCCCTTTCTATTTCCATGGAAACACGTGGTTGACTCCCTCACTTTGTTGTGCTCCTGTAGAATTGTCATGCGTGTAAACTGGAGTTTGGTCCTAATGACACAAAGCACCACTGTCGGGCCTGTGGAGGGGGCTTCTGTGGGTCCTGCTCCTCTAAGTCCAGACCGGTTCCAGAGAGAGGCTGGGGTCTGGGGCCAGTGCGAGTCTGTGACCAGTGCTTCACCAACAGAGAAATATCCACAGGTGATCAAAGAGTCTAAAAGTATAAGTATTACATTAGACCTATTAATAACTATGAATATAATATTACAAGATAAATATTCACAGTTAACACACGGAAGAGTTTTTACTGGGAACTTTTCATATTCATGGTAATGCTTCAAATTTGACTAATTTTTAATATACAAATGTTGTTCACTTCCCAGCTGAACAACCGCCACTGAGGAGTGTCTGGGTGGCATTTACATTAACGTTATGTTAGGTTTCATATGGCGAAAGAAAAGAGTTTAAGTTAAGTTACAAATCAGGACATAATGCACAATATAAGACATACTGTATAGAAATGGCAACATTCAATACTATACAATGCTTCTGTCAAGCTATTTTAATAGTTAGTAAACACCAATGAATTATTAGTTTGTTATTTTATTTGTATTTTATTCTGCAGAACTGTTGGACGCTGCACTGGAGGAGGACGGAGGGACCTTGATCGCCCGGAAAGTGGGAGAGGCGGTGCAGAACACTCTGGGAGCTGTGGTCGGAGCTATAGACATACCTCTAGGTGAGAATCTTTAATCTCTTCTCTGTGTGTCAGATGCTTTCAGTGTGTCCCTAAGGGGTCTTATTCTATGTAAAAGCTGCCAAGCCTGTAGCTTAGACTTCTACAAACATGTTCTGAAATTCATGGAATTCTCTTATTAGTTTAAAATTCAGATTTCAGTCACCTCTCTAATGCTTATATGTCTGGATGTGAAGTCCTCAATTTAAAACATTAATCACAAATGCAATGCAATTAGACATTTAGGCTTAGACAAACTTTATTGATCCACAAGGGAAATTACTTGGACATGGTAGCTCACACATCATAATATTATATTATAATAATAAAGAGTAAAAAATGTAAATGGTAATAATAAATTCAAAATAATCTAAATCCTTACCAATCACCAATTAAGAAAAAAAAAAAACTGGAGAGTGAAATAAGGCAGTGAAAACAGTGGTTCGTCAGCAATATGGTGTCTTGTAAAATAAGTGCTCAAATATGCACAATTCACTCCAAATACAACTTTGACAGAAAACCAGAAGGGGAAACAACCATAACATGTTTAAAAGCTCTGAAAAGTTGATTTTGCAGAATAGGTCTGCTTTAATGTCAAATGTTATGAATAGGCATTCTATTTGTTATTAATAAGACAAAATGTAATCAAATCGAAATTCAAGATTGATAAATAAGAGGAAAAAAAGCGTGAACAGTTTTTGTAATATCACCCTGAACTTCCTCACCTCCTCTGTGTCTTTCTACAGGTCTGGTGAAAGATGCTGCCCGCCCCACGTACTGGGTTCCGGATCAGGACCTCCACTCGTGCTTTGGGTGTCAGAGGGAATTCAACCCGCGTCTTTCCATTCATCACTGTCGCTCGTGTGGGCAGGGAGTGTGCGAAGACTGCTCCCCCGAAAGGAGACCGGTGCCCTCTAGAGGCTGGGACCACCCTGTACGAGTCTGTAATGCGTGTGGACAGAAACCAGGGGACCTATAACGCTAAAGGGAGTAATAATGACAGACAGCAGGTGAAGTGTCTTGCTTAAGGGCACAGTACAAAACCACCAATCTCTCAACCAATTGGGATACTGCAGACCCAAAGAAAAACAGGCATCTCTAGGCAATGATTGACATGGTGAGTTTGGCGGAGTGTCTTGCTCATGGACATGATGACAGTACACAATGACTTTAAAGAGCATCAGACTCCCAACTAAAACTATACAGAATAATACCAGAAACTGCATATCTGGTAGGTGAGATGTCTTGCTCAAGGACACAATGTCAGTATGAAGTATACAGTGTCTTTAGCTAGCATCAAACCACCAACCACTCAAACCGAGCTACTCCTGTCCCCAAGAAAACAGGGATCTTTAGTACTGTAAGAAATAAATAACAGGGCAGTTGGGTGGATTGTCTTGCTTAAAGGCACAGTGACACAACCAATAACCTCTCAACCAACTGATTTACTGCTATCTCTCAATAAACAAGGGGGTCTGTATTACTAGGAAGAGTAATGCCATGCAAAGTGATGTGGGTAAGGTGTATTGCCCAAGAACACAATGGCACAATGTTTGCCGCATTGAACCCCCAACCACTCAGCCTACTTAGCTACCTACTGCTGCCCTCAAGAACCCAAGAAACCTCTAGCACAAAAGGCAATTATTAACAGACAAGAGAAGGCGGGTGGAGTGTCTTGCCCAAGGACACAATGACAGCATATAGTGTCTTTTGCGAGAATTAAACGTCAACTTTTCAACTGAGCTACTGCTGCCCCAAAGAAACTCAGAAACCATTGGATCTGTAACATTATACGGAATAATACCAGAAATTGTATTATCTGGTGGTTGGAGTGTCTTGCCTAAGGACATAATGGCAGCATAAAATGTCTTTAACGAGCATCGAACCACCAACCTCTCAAACTAAGCTACTGCTGCCCCATTGGAAACCAGGGATCTCTAGACACAATGACAGTATGCCGTATTGAACCACAAACTTTTCATAACCTTTCAGGAAAACCAGGTACAACAAGTGCGTGGGGAATAATGGACAATGTAAAGTGAGTGACGTGTCTTGCCCAAGGACACACTGGCAGTATACAGTGTCTTTACCACCAACCTCTCAAGGACAAAGTCATGTTTCAGAACTGGCATTACCTTATTGGTGTTTTTGGTTTACAGGCATTGAAATTTTGTAGTTTTTGATGTCATTTTCAAACATGTTTTATATAAGTTCTGCAAAAATATGTTGCGTTCAAGTTTTAGAATATGATGTTGTTATTTCGTTGAGGCAGTTGTGTGTTGTTATGGTTGTTTATGGCAGAATGTTCAGCGGTTACCATGGTGGCACAATGCACACATTAGTGAACACTGCCAAGCGTTTTCAAATTTGTCAAAAAACTCAAGAAAAGTACAAAATAGATTTAAACAACACATTTTCAGGAGGCTGAGATCAATGCGAGCGTTCATGGTCCAGTTTAGGAGTTTGTGAGTGTGTGAGAGACTTGTTTAAAAGCACAAATCATCTTAAATCAGTTCTTCCTGGTCAGATTATGTTAAAACAAAGCTCAGATTAAAGTAATTTGAGAACTTCAGACAGACCAGTGCCTGTACCTGCAAAGTATCAATATGACGATTTTTACCAATTTACCATTTTTGCCCTGCCCTACTTGAAACTCATCATGAAAACAGATCAAATAAATTACTTTTTAACTACTTCATACTACAAATATAAAAAAAATCATACATTTTAACCAGATATTGTTTTGCAAAATAACTTGACTCCCACGAACTTGAATATAGAATTATTTATAACTTTTGCTTACATTTTATGCTTCCAAATGCAACTGAATAAATACTGCCCCCTCTTGACAATCCCCTGTAACTGCAATGCACCTTCTACTGTCCATCTCAAGTACATGTCTGTAAGTTTACATAAAATAAAATCTCATTAATATCAGGTACATTTAGGATTTTTCGCCCTTGAAGTATTGTTTCTAAAAGTTATAAAAATACAAATATAAAATAAAAAAGTTGCATTCCAATGAAAACTTAACTGCCTTGCCCATAGAATATGAATTACTTCCTTAAAGGTGCACTGAGTAACCATGGAGATAGATTGAAAGCCACTACAGCAAGTTACAGGTCAGATCTGTTGGAGAGGCAAGCTCGCTCACAATAGAAATTCATGCTTTTTTCGATATAAAACAGTAATGGAATGCATCTCCGTGGAAACAAGCAGATGGAAGAAAAGTTACACTGTGCCCTTTTAAAAGTAGAATTAACACATGCTCTTAGTTTTATAACAGCAGAGGAAGTACAACTGGTATGCCATTAGCTGTCAAATACTGGAGTTATCACTATATAGAGGCCTTTTTAGATATTGCAAAATTTAATTAAAACAATATATATGTTATTTGAAAATTAATAGTACTTGCATTTCTTTTCCTCTAAATTGTAACCTAGGTATCAAAAATGTAAAACCAAGTATACTGTAGCATCCTCATTGTAAAATAGGTTTAAAAAGGGAAACGGGATTGGCTAGAGAGGCTCGTCCCTCAAAAACATAGTTAGACTTTGGGTTTGAGGAGCGTAATATGTAACGTAATGTAAGCAATACTTAAATCTTAATGGCCTTTTAAATATTATGTCTTTGAATTATTAATATGTGGTTTGGTAAAGCTGTTTGATTTGATGTTTGTTATTGAATACAGTGGTTCCCAAATTGTACATGAGAAATACTGACAAAACAATATTCTGATTGTGAGTGACAGGACTGAAAAATGTATGATATTTTCTGTATCATGCTTAAAGGGGAGTTTAAATGCACACACCAACATTATGTAAATCCTTTATGTCCCTTTATGTGTATTATGGATTAAACAGATAACTTAATTGCAAGTGTGTTGTCACTTTCATTACAATTGTGTTTTTGATATTTTGCAGCAAGAGTTTATCCTGATACTACATCTTTTATTGGAATAAAATATAAAAATATTTTAAATTAGTTTTGTCCATTAAATATTTCAGCCTTGGTCAAAACTACTTTCCCATGTGTACAGAATCCATAAACTTAAGATTTAGATGAAGTTCAGCACAAAACAGGGGCAGACTGGCAATCTGTGTGTTCTGAAAAAGTCCAGAATGGCCATCTGACCGCGGAGCCGCACCCTCCCCCACCCTTACCCACCTCCAATTTCCACTGTGGCCCAATTTCCACTGTGGCCCAATTTGAGTGCACCCGCAGCCCCCCATCCTCAATTTTCATGGTGGGTTGATTTGTGGGGGAAGGTTCAGGGCCGTTTTTTGGTCCCAGTCCTGTGTTTAGCTGCATATGACTGAAAGATTTTTATTATTGTCTTCTTTTTAATGTTAATTTTGTGATGATTATTTATGTTTTAATATGTTTGTATTTTGATTTTAATGCCTTCCTTATTTTGTAAAGCACTTTGAATTGTACTTTACAAATTGTGCTATACAAATAAACGTGTCTTGCCTTAAGTAGCCTACTCACATTCAGTCCATTATGTAACTGCTAATGACAGTGGCACTAGACCTGTCATTGTTTCTCTGTGGGGGAGGGACTTGATGCAGACTTGATGGACACAGAGGGGGTAGTTGAGTTGATGTGGATTGTTGACCTGGGTGTGTAAAGACAGAAGTGTTTGGTGAAAGGAGTGGGGATCTGTTACACCGCTGACATTAAGTGGTTTGTTCCGAAACTATTCACTCTACGTTTTTTTAAAAAATTTGTATAATTATCTTTGCTCAAACTACAAATGTGTTAAATATAAACCTGTTCTGTCTGTTTGGGTGTCAGACTGTAATAAATATATAAATAATCATTACTTTTACTTTTCAGTGATATTCAAAAATGTAGTGGAGAAGAAGATACCTTCTCTCAAATGTAGAAATATAAAGGTAAAAAGTATCCACTTCATCATGTACTTCAGTAAAGTACCCAACATCTCTCCTGCCCACATAATGCATTGCTGTACAAAACAATAATGGAAATTTAATTTGATAGTCTACAAATATGCGTACTTGCATATTGTCTAAATCTGACATCCACATTTTAAAATAGGCAAAGAAATGAATTGACAGTGAATACACTAAATCAAAGTGATGTAACATTGTTTATTTATTTATTTTTTATTATTTTACCCACAGTGTACAACTGAAAAGATATCAAATAAAGATTTAGACAAAGACAATGCAATTCAAAAACTGCGAGGAAAATAAAATCTGATTAAAGATGGAACCTGCTGACAGCAGCCTCCAGAAGGAGCAGTCATAACAATGAAATCCTGATGTCTTTATACAGACTCAAGTATTGTTAAAGGACATATATTATGAAATGATGTGTGTCCTGGTGATCCACTGAGTCTGTCTGATATTTCAACACTATGGTAGCTTCAGAAATAACCTGTAGCTGCATTTTGTGTCTGGCCATGTCTTTATTTATGCCACTCGAGTTTGAGAAAGCGTTACCACACTCGCCACAGACATGTGGCTTTTCTCCTGTGTGGACATGAGCAGAGAGGTAGTTAAAGGATTTAAAAGCCTTATCACATTGGTCACATTTAAATGGCTGTTCTTTGTTGTGAATGAGCTTGTGTCTTCTGAAAGTTACCACATGACCACATGTGTGAAGCTCATCCCACACTGGTCACACTTGTGGGCTTGTCTCCAGTGTGGATCCTCTGGTGATAGTGAAGAGTTTACATGTGTCTAAAGCTTTGACCACACTCACCACAGCTGTACGGCAGTTCATCTGTGTGCATGCTCATGTGGGTTTTCAGGTTTCTCAATCTGATGAAGGCTTTCCCACACTGATCACACTCAAATGGTCTCCAGTGTGAATCTATTTGTGCCAATGGAGTGCAAGGGGAAAGAAATGTCTTCTCACACTCGTCACAGCTGATTTTTTTTTCTCAGGTATTCATGTGGTGTTTCAAAGCGGCAGTCCGAGAGGTCATTCTACACTGGGCACACTGGTGGGGCTTGTCTCCCGTGTGGATGCTCTGGTGGTTACAAAGGTTTTCCAGATGCGATGAAGGCTTTCCCACACTCAAATCACGCTCATATTGTTAAACTCCAGTGTGAATCCTTTTGTGCCTCTTGAGTGAGCAATATTGATAAAATGTTTTCCCACACTCTTCACAGGTGTATCTTTTGTCTCGGGTGTGGGAGTTCATGTGGCCTGTCACAGAGCTGGACTGACAGAAGCTCTTCCCACACTGGTTACACTTATAGGGCTTCAGTTCACTGTGGATCCTCCGGTGCGCGCTTAAACCACATTGTTGTGTGAAAGTCTTTTCACACTGGCCACAGCTGTAAGGTCTCTCACCAGTGTGGATCCTTCTGTGTTCTTGGAGGGAATGTGCTGTAGCCAGAGACTTTTCACACTGGTCACACTTGTAGAGCTTAGGTCTAGGTAGCATGGTGACGGCCTGGTTGCTCTGCTCCTGTTTAAAGCTGATCTCAGTGGCCACACCATGCATGAGCTCCGTGACTGATGTTCCTGTCTGCAAATAGAAAATGATCCTAAATAAAGAGTTGCTTTCAGTTGGCCTGTCACAGTAACAACTATACTGACTCATTGCTCAATAAACCAGTGTATTAAATATATATATTGTAGTAATAATGTGTATATTTCACTAACTGCCAGTCACTGCGAACTATCTGTCTGACTAGTTTCTTATCGCAACCTCCCTCATCCACTTTCTATTACAGGCACAACAGTAGATCAGTGCTTAGAACCTTGTGAGTTTTAATCAGCTGCCATCTCTTTTTAACAACATTAAAGAATACTTTCTAAATCAGGATTATTCTAAGTTGGGTAAATAGATATATTTACATGAAACATAAAACATGATAAGTCATAATTGTGGTCTAAATATAAAGGTAGTCTTAAAGAGTATTACTCAGCTGTTTGTAGAGCTGGCTGAAGGTCAGAGAGCGGCTCAGTAAAAAACAGCTACTTTCACTTGAAGCTTTAAAAGTCTGTGTAACCCTGCTCCTCTCCGTGCCAAAATACAACCACTCCCCCTCTTCCAAGTTGATATCGCCTCATTCAACACCTACGTTTTAGTTTTACCTATTTACATTCAAATACAGTGGTCACATTATGTTTGTAATCAGCAATAGGTACTTTACTTGAGAGGATGTCGGTAATAGAAAAATATGGGACATTGGTAAACATGGTCATGTTATAATGATGTTACCTCCTCAAAAACAGACCGGGAGTTGTGTTTTTTCACACATGTTCTTTATCATGAGTCTGTGTACATTTTCAAAATTCCTTGTGAACATACATGGTGTTTTGTGTTTCAAGAACTCCTAAAAACACAGGGTTTATGTGTTAAACATCTTGAATGAAACAAAACACAACTCCAGGTACGTTTTCGATGAGAAAACAACATTATAACATAGATCAGCTGCTAGGACAAATTAACTTTTCAGATGAATGGGACATAAATGGGACATCACTATTCAATTTGTCTTTTGTTTTCCTAAATGACTAGACATGCCTGAATGTCTCATAGGACCCCCCATTCACACCTATTCAGGTCTTTGTCCTGCTGTACACTGGGACTATAGTGGTCTGACAGGTTTTGGGACAAAAATGATTTGAATATGATGATTTTTTTTTTTTTTTTATAATTAATTTTTCTTTTTTAATGTTGTATGAAAAAGACAAATACAATACAACCTGTGGGTGTGCCTTGATGTCCACAAAGGATGGATTAATTAAAAGAAAAAAATATATAATAATAATGAATAATAATTATTACAGCCAATTGCAAGAAAAACAAAGTAATGGGTCAAACAAAGTCCGATTTCACAGTATTTATATATTCAATCCACCATTTCCATTTGCTTTCAAATTTGTCTCGTTGCAGTCTTATGCTAAAAGTAATTCTCTCCATCTTAAAAATATCATAAACAATCTCAAACCTTTCATCCAGTGTTGGTACTTGTGGATTAAGTCATTTCCTGGTTATAGCTTTCTTAGCAGCCACATTTTTCATTTCATTCTCCCTTGATGTATAAGAGTACAGTATGCAGTTAACCCTTGCAAGGCCCACTCTTTAAACCTTACATCAAATTTGTTAGGTGAGAAATCTTTATCATATTCACAGCATCTCAATATTACTACTATACCTTTTAAATTTTTTTGTTGTATTACCTTATTCCACAGTCTGAAAGACAAGGCGATAAATGGGTTTTCCAAATTATTTAATTGGTCCTGTCTAACTTTTTCCCCAATAAGTTCCTGAATTGTATATTCACTGGTTGTTGCCTCCTCGATGATTTTCCATCTAACAAAATATTCTGGATTACATAGACACACCAATGATTTCAATTGTGCAGCCACATAGTAATCTTTTAAACAAGGGAGTGCCACACCCCCTCTGCTCCTGGGTAGCTGCAAATTCTGATATTTGATTCTTGGTCTTCTGCCCTGCCAGATGTATCTTGAAATAAGTCTGTCCCATTCCTGGAACTGTTGATCTGATAATTCTATGGGAAGGGATTGAAATAGGTAGAGAAGTCGGGGTAGAATATTCATTTGAACTGATTGGATTCTCGATCCAAAACCAAGGAGGGGAATCACACTCCACCTCTGTACATCATCTTTAATTGCCTGGTTTAATGGTAGGAAATTATCAGAATACAAGCTAACAAATTTTTGGAAATTTTTACTCCCAGGTATTTCATTTTGGCTGCTCTGAATATGATTATTTAGTACACTCGGCGTTCTTTGTGCATATAAATGGGGCAGGGGGCAGTACTGGACTGTTGGCCTGGGTGTGTCAGCCAGGTTTACAGAGAGCACCAAGTAACCACGCTTTTGAAAAAAAAAGACCAAAACACGCAACGTGAGTCTTACAAAAGGAAGTCCCAAATACATTTATACCATACTCCATACAACTGTACAACTCACTCTTATGTAAGAGATAATACTCCCTACAACTGTACAATAACTCACCCTTATGGAACAGATAACCCTATGTCTTGTCAGTCATCATATAATTTGTGCACTGTTTTTCCTAATGACCTCTTGCATATGACTGAGATTTTTAATTACTTATTTTCTATTTTATTTTGACTTATACATAAACATTTATATAATTATGCCAAGTGATTCTAATGAACGTGTATAGAGATTAAAAACACAGTGGAGCACTTCTGTATTACCACGACATCACAAGATGGAACAGTGTTTTCATTTTAACAGAAGAACCGTGTTTGATGTGTAATGCATATCTTCTATTAGCTTATTTAATATTTATAACAACTTTGAAACATTTAGAGGTGCGCAACTTTTTGGTTGGGTGTCTGTCATGTGCTTGTTTCTATGGGTGTCATTACTCTGCCTGGAATGTTCAACATTACAGTTCTACCTTACATTTATTCAATTACAGGTGGTTTTATAGCTGAAAAATACCTAGAATTCTGACTGAGTGGGGTTGACTCCCCTCCACAGATTTGATGTGGGGAACATCTCTCAAGACAAGATACAAAATGAATTTAAAGAAAACCTGTGATGAATGTGAGTGTTGGTCCTGTTTAAGTGTTCGATTTTCAACAAAAAGGTGAGAGTGAGTAACTAATGCCAACTTGTGACTGTAATTTAGGATTGAATAAAGAATTTCTGTGGTTCATTACAGATACAAACTAAGTACAAACATTTTACATTTATTCATTGATGTTTGTGGTTTTTCACTATATTGTACATTATAATTGTTTTTTGAAGGAGTGATTCTGCTCTTGGGTTTCTGTGTCTGTGGCATACATTTGGTTCAATATTATCATTTTAATTTATTTGCTTTGTCTCGTGTGTGAGTTTGCCAATGACTTCTGAGTGAGCGTTTGATTCTAAATCTCTTCCCACACTGGTCACACTCAAACGGTTTAACTCCAGAGGGACTCCAGAGGGAATGCTCCGGTGTAGATGAAGCGAATCCTGCCGACTGAACTTCTGGGCGCAGTCATCGCAGCGGTATGGTCTTTCTCCGGTGTGGGTTTTCATGTGATTTTCCAGTTTCTACTTCGTTACCATGGATATCCCACACTGGTCGCATTCATGAGGCAAATGGTCACTGTGGCTCCATCTGTGGACTGAACGTGCTTGTGAGGTTTTGAAAGTCTTTAGACATAGATCACAGCTGTACAATTTCTCTCCTGTGTGGGTTTGGTAGTGTTCAGACAGATGATTCGATCTCTTAAATGCCTTTCCACACTGGTCACACTTGTATGGGTGTTCGTCACTGTGCAGGCGCTGGTGATCACAGAGGGATTTTTTGTTCTTAAAGCCCTTCCCACACTGTTCACACTTGAAGGGCTTCAGTCCAGTGTGAATGCCCCGATGTTCGTTTAAACCCGAAGATGATCTGAAGGTCTTCCCACATTCGTCACAGCTGTAAGGTCTCTCACCAGTGTGGATCCTCATGTGTGTTTTGAGGGAGCATGCTGAACCCAGGGATGTTCCACACTGGTCACACACATACAGCTTTGTTCCAGTGTATGTCTCCCGATACTCTTCACTGCTGTCCAGGGTATTCTCTTCATCGGTGTCAGAGGAGGGTGATGTGGTGATCGGCTTGTCACAAGGCTCTTGCTTTAAACACACTTCCTGGAGTGGTGAACTGATCGCTGCAGTATAAATCAAGGTAGGAGAACCACAAGTCTGATCCATGGGGCCTTATTCTCTTTGTCGACTGAAACAGGAGGGAAAATGCAACATAGTATATGTTGCATTTTTACTGCAACATAGTATAGGAAAGGCTGAGTAAAATTGCACCAAATCAAATAAATCAGTAATTTTGCCACACACAGCAGAGCTCTCTACACTGGCCATGCTAGCCCCAGAGCTGTGTGAGGAGCCACTGTACAGATCTTATCTTTTTTGCTACTTATTTAAAATGTATTATTACCATTTATATTTTTTACTCTTTATTATATTATATTGTGAGGAGTGAGCTACCATGTCCAAATAATTTCCCTTGTGGATCAATAAAGTTTATCTAACAATCCTGCACCAACACTGAGCTTTTCAGGTCTGACATCCAGGAGTGCACTGCCCAAACTTCACACTTTAAATTAACTAATTCATTCATTACCTTAGCTACATTGAGCAAAACCATCTTCTTTCTGTTTGGTAGTAGGGCAGGCTATCAGGAGGCTATTGCTAAGTAGCATGCATATGTAAGAAAATATAGAGAGAACTGACTGTCTTTCTAGCCAGTGTCAAACATGGGTGGTATAAGCACATAAGTGTTGGCGTTAGAAAGTCCAAGCTGTTTACTTACGTGGTTTGTAGCTCTGCAGACAGCTCCGGGAAGCTCTGTGCTAGACTACAGAGGAGGCTACTGTTGCTGTGTGCATGAGAGGGGAGGGGTGTCAGAGGAACTAAAGCCCTCCCCCACAGAAACACTCCCCCTGCCTATTCATTATTGACAACACGTGGCTCGGTCTATTTACATTCAAAAATACAAATTCACGTCACACATTTACAAGATCAAGACCAAACAGTATTTTATGGCAAAGACAAAGTGCAATAGAAAAATCAAGGACATTTATCAATATGTCAACAATAGTAAACTTGTTACTACCAATTAAAAACTCCTAGGAGCTCAAGGACTGGCCTTCCGCTGGTGCCCAGAGTCAGGACCAAACATGGGCTAAGCCAGGACTAAACATGGGCAGTCAGTGTTTCAATTTTATACAGCTAAAACCTGGCATAGTCTTCCTGAACATGTGAGACAGGCCTCTGCTTTGACAGAGGAAATAAATTCTACCCAATAGTTAAGGTTAAAAGGTGCCATATATAGATATATTATTATTATACTTTAGATTCCTATTCTTATAATCATCATATCAGAAGACCTAATGAACTTAACCAGACAGTTAAAGTTAGGGTGAAGGTTCTGCACTTACTTGTCTCCATGAAGATGTTACTTCTTTGCCTAGAATGTTCCACATACAGGTCAGCCCTGTGGAAAGGTAAGCCTATTCAACTGTAATTAAATAAACAAAAGACAGTTTAATGCCATAATGTGGAATATTCAGGGCAGAGCAATAACTTCTCCATTAAATCTTTTGATTTCAAAATGGGTGAGACAGTGTGAGAAAAAGTACTGCTAATCAGAACTGACTGATATGGGTTTGTTTAGAATTCAGAGAAACCAATTGCTGATCATATAAAATGCCTCTTTTGGCAGAGTTTTTCTTAAACTTATTAAACAGTTTGTATAATTTCCTCAGCGTCTGTGTTGTACGGGTAATAGAACAGTTCGTTTTTGACAGCCATGATGAGTCCCGGGGGTCCATTTTGTCCACCGAGGTTTGAGGAGAAGACCACACTGGGGATGAGGTCGTTGGCTGTGGGGTGAGGGGAGGGGATGGTGCGGAGCAGGCGGCCATCTTGGAGGCTCCAGATCCGAGTGTAACAGTCCTGACCCACTGTGGAAACAATCAGAGGGACAATGAACAATCAGTAGCATATAATAATTAAACAAACGTGTATTCCTTAGAGTGGTCACATATTGTTGCTGTGACGTATCTGGTCAGCTGATTTACAAAGGTCTGCAGATGGCACTGTCTCCAGTAGGAACACAGCACCATCTGCAGTCCGACTTCTTCAGGGCAGTATCCCAGTTGTGAGAGTAAAAATGCCCCCATTATCCTGGTTTAAAGTCCTGTGGGCACATTTCTGTATTTCGATGGACTCCTGCATCACGTGACCAGTCTGAAGAAGACCATGAGCAGTCGAAACTGTCATGTATATTTTGTATGAAAACAAACTAAACCTTGGTCTGAAAAAAGGATCTATTCAAATTATTTTTTTAGTGTAGAGGGGTTTACCTGCGAGCACGAGTCCCTCTGGTTCTCTGACATGTACAGGTAGGAGGGCGTGTTCATTGTAATGTCCTTTGTACTGCTGCACAGACTTAGAGACCCGCACATCCCACAACTTTATCTACATAAAAAAAATAAAGTAATGCATTATTCATATTTTCATAGTGGTGTAATTGTAAGGTTAAGGTCTACACTCCCTTCATCTGGATTTAGTGTTGGCACCAAATAATGTTATAATATATTGGCAGCAGTGGAAATGACCATAAAGGATCAGGATTAATATAACAGATGTGAATGAAGCAAAACACAACCCCAGTGATAATGTTATAAGCTTTCAATAACCCTTGAATAGAAGCACTGACCTGTCCAAGCATGTCCGCAGCCAGAAGGTAGTTGTGGTCATTGAGGACTCTGATGGAGGTGATGGCTGCCCCCTGGTGGAGGCGATGAGTTTTCCAGCTCTGTCCTTTTCGACTGCGTTGCCTCAGATCCAGACCGAAGACTTCACCAGACCTGCAGCCACTGAACAGAACCGGGGCCTGAGGAACAGAGAGAGGGTGTTACCAAGAAGAACAGCCATGTAAACATAAAGCCAGATATACACTTTATTATACATTATTATACAGTGGTTCTACCCCAAGCAGGCACAAATATAAGACAGTGCATTTCTTTGTAGCAGAGCTCACCTTGAGAGAAAAGTGTTGAGCCAAAACATCACTGGAAACACTGTAGGTCTGAGTGCGTCCATTTTCTGCATCCTTGAGAATGATCCTTCGAGACAAACCTGTAAAAATCACAAGGATAATCACAACACAGAAGCACTAAAAAGGCTTAATGTGCATATGACATTTTTTTGTTTGTTTTTCTAATTTTTACTTTATTTGGTGAGATTGTAACTATTGTAAATATAAATGACCAATCAAGAAGCAATTTGCACAGAAAAGTTGAAAAATATCTTGAAAATTACAGGAAGTAGAGAGTTCAAACATACTGATGACATCACACTTGGGAGAATTCTATTAAAAAGTTCTGCACAATTTATACAAGAAACACATTTTTACCTCCGCCAAGGAGGTTATGTTTTTGCCGGCGTTTGTCTGTTTGTTTGTTTGTCTGTTAGCAACATAACTCAAAAAGTTACGGACCGATTTCATTTTGGGGGTGATTTGGGAGAAATCCTGGATTCTGGATCACTTTGAAATTTTAGTTTACATTGTGGTAAATGGGGCCAAAAATTTTGTTTCTCAATATCTCGGTTAATTATTGACCAAACCCCATGAAATTTGACTCAGGGATGGACAATGGGATCCTCTTTCATATTCCAAAGGCTGATCCGGTTCTGATCCAGAAGACTGATTTTATCGCAATTTATATAAAAAATGGGGGTAGTCCTTGGCGGAGGTCTGCGCTCTCTGAGTGCTTTTCTAGTTTATCATATTTCAAGCAGGATTTCAATAAAATAAAGGTGTTTTCTTAAATCTGTATTTGCCAGATTATCATTTCTGTGTACATTAGAGGAGTTTCGCTAGGTAACACTTGGAATTTATTGTTATGTCATGATTTCCCACCAGGAAGTACAATATTAAACCTAACTAGAAAAGCACTCAGAGAGTGCATCAACACTTCTTTGCATCTTTTTAAAAATCTTTGGTTCCTTACCTGTGCTGAAGGTTTTGTCAAACTGAGGATGGGAACACCAGGCGCAGGACCAGGCTGAGGCGATTTTAAAATTACACAGTGTCTCTGGTTGTTCTGGAAAAGCAAGAATAAAAGCACAATTAGAAAAACAAATGACTGATAAATAACTTGAAGGGCAATCTTGACAAAAATGCATCAGTGAATGTGCTAAAAATGCACCTGTGCACAAAATGTAAATAAACCATACAATTTACTACAAAAAGTAAAAAAAAAAAAGACATCATATCCTCATTTGGAAGATTACACTTGACATTTCTGTGTCAGCTAGTTTTAATTACAGACGACAAATTCCATATTGTAAGTTGACATATTGCGATTGTTTTGGCAATATTGTAAATTTTTTGACATATCTACCACCTCCACTATAGAAATCGCATCAGTTTTTACCTGGGTTTGAATTGCTGTAAAGAGACACAGGAAGTAAACTGACACAACCGGGAGTGTCTGCGGCTCCAACCAAACACAACCTGAACAGCACAGTCAAGGAAAAAGAAACTGAAATAAAAGAGGAAAGTGCTCTATATGTCAAGTCTCAGCTCATCAAAAAGTGCAAAAACAAATCTCTGAAGCACTTGAAGGATATAAAACATGGGAGTCTTGGTGGTTGACTGAGGCCCAACAAACTGAATTCACCTGGAACAAAAAAAGGTCAAGTCAAACATGGACCTTGATCTAGTGTCAAGTGTTTAAATGAGACTTATTCTCCAAAATAGATGGTTTAATCATGTCATAGTTGTTTCCCCTTCTCATTTATCCTCTCAAAAATGTATTTAAAGTCATTCATGCGTGCTAGAGTAATCTTTTTTCTCCTGTATTGAAAACATCATTGCTCTGAAAATTCCTGTTTTCCCCTACTCCCCATATATACCAACTGCTCTTTTTTATTTACTTTTTGCATCTGTGAAACAGGTAGAATTCAGCAGCACCACTATGGTTCACTTTTGTATGTAAACAGGTCTGTAACCATCATTGCATTTATACTTCCAAACGTTTTTAATATCAAGACAGCATTTTCTTAAACAACCACCAGAGGGTGCACAAAATCAGAGAATTTACCGAAACAAATGAAATGCAAATAAACAAACATGGAGGTGCTCACAGCAGGTTTAAGAGCACTTCTGTTAGAAAATAGTAAGAAAAAAAAATGAGGTGAGAGAAGCATTTATTTGTTCTGAAGTTTGTTCTAGTCACTTTTTTAAAAGTTTAGCTTTAACTATCGAGCTGTGTTTATTACTATCCCCAGTGGTTAGCTCATGTATCAGTCTGTAGCTAAGAATCCCCATGTTCTGAGGAGGCAGGTTAGATCATGGACAAAACATTGCAGAGGATGGACAGATGCCTCCGTGTGTATCTGTACGCATCTAGAACGTACAGCATAAATGAGGTACTGTAAAGAGGTAGAAGGAAAGGTATTTTCTAATGTTTTACTTTGCGGTTTGTGAAGAGGTGGTTGTCACACATCTCCACAGTGAGGGGGGTCTTGTTTCTGCTGCTGCGGAGGTTCATGATTCCGTATTTGGCTCCACCATGAGACACATCGCTGACAGTGAAAACTCGCTCAGATGAAGAGTCTCCCTAAAGACAAGAAAAACAAAATATCAAATGTGCAAAGGATTAGATATGTATCATTAAAAACTCACCCGGTAGATTAGTTTAGATATATTTAATAAAAAGTAATATAATGATTCTGGCTTAATGGATACTGGACATTGAAATATTTGAAAATATGGACTAGTCAAGTGAATTTGACAAAAACAAAAAAAAACAAAAAACCCTCTACTTCAGATTAGTAGTCAAAAATGTTCATGATATAATTGTGACTTCTGAATTGTTTTATTTTTCCATTTATACAGATATTTTAGGTTTAAGAATTAGCTTGTGTATGCTCTCACCACCATCATTCTGAAGTTATCTGTGCTCTGACTGTTGTGGTCTGTATTTAGAATCTCCAGTTTTTGACGCCTCATTCCACTCACTTTCACCTCATGTGACAATCTGCAAACATGTAATTAATCAAACTCGAGTTATTCCAAGCACTATTCATACAAATCAACAACTCAAAGTGTTTTACATATTAACAGTTTTAAAAGTAACTCTGGTTAGGATCACATTCTTCACATGATAAACACACTAAACAAAACCATGGCTATATTGTATACCTGCAGTAGGATCTGACAGGAATGGTTCCAAATTGTCTTTTTTGTAGAAGCAGCGTCATGTTAACTCCTGATCTTGGTGCTTTCTGTTGAATAAAAAACAAAACAAATAAACAAACAAAAAAAGTTATTATGGATTTCATATTGTAGCTGATAGTAGACATAGTAGCTTGTTGCAAATGCTCAAATCCACGTACTTCTTGTCTTGTCCCATACAATATATTGTAAAAGCTAATATATTTAAAAAATGTGACTGAATGACATTGCTATTACATTTTAAAAGGCAGTTTGTGGCATTAGCGCCATATTGAAACAGCTGCTTGTGACTATAACAAGACCAATGTTAACAGACAAAACTAATACATGTTTCTGACTCACAGTTCAAAATCGCGTGTAGGACAATTTAAATGTAACAGTTACAGAAAAATATGTTTTTTATCTTAAGAGAGTCTTCTCTGAGAGCTAATTTGGAAGTCATATTTTCAGTATTAGTATCAGTAGCAATCTGTTTTAATCTGTTTATGCAAATCTGTTGGCCTTGTTCGAGTAATAAAGTTTTGGATTTTCTTTCTTGTCCAGTTGCTGCTCACTTTTCTGGGATTATCATCTTCCATGAGGCTCCTCTCTCTCTTCTTCTCTCTCTCCTTCTGTCTCAGCTGCTCGGAGGTCAGCGGGTTACAGTTGTTATGACCTGGCAACAGGCGGAAGTATCGGTTCTTCTCTGGGTCAAAGTAGAAACCAGGAAGCTCTGGAGATATAAATTTAAATTTTTATTTAATTTTGTTAAAAAAAAATTTAATAAATAGAAATAGCATTACAAAACAAAATTATGCAGAACAGGTATCGTACCTGGAGCGGCAGAGCTGGAGGAGGCAGAGGAAGAGGAAGAGGAAGAAGAGGACGATGAAGGAGCAGGTTGACTTTCAGTTCGTTGGGTTGGTTCATAGTATCTGTCATTCCTGCCAAAAAAAAAAAAAAAAAACACTCTCAAAACTATACCACAATTTGAATGGTCCCAGTTAGTAAAGTCTTAAATGCATTTGCCTATGCCTTACAAAACAAAAATATCTAATCTATTTATGAATACAACCTAACTCAAAATCTGGAGATGGGTCCTGGGAAGAGGTAGCCTTTGCAGCATTACAAAATTGTCTGAAAACTCACAACACATTTTCAGGAGTTTGTGATCAATACGAGCGTTCATGGTCCTGTTTAGGTGTTTGCTTTTCAACAGTAATGTGAGCATGACTACCTGAAAAACTGTTGGCTAATGCTAGGTAACTTGTGACTGTAATTTTGTGTGTAAAATACTTACACACATCAGCTCACCTGATGTAGTTCCAGCTAAGCCAGTTCTTTCTGCTTACATAACATTACATTTTAGATTTAAGTATAATTTGAGTAACAGAGCTACAGACACAGCAATGCTTACAGTTAGTATCACACCCCCAGTGAACGCTAATGACATCAGATGCAAAGAATCAATTCTCAATCTTTTTTGCACTGTTTTTACCTGTACCACTGGTTGTTGTCTCTTCTCTGGTGATTCCCTCTGCTCCGTCCGTGTCTCCTGTATGGCCTCTCTCCGTCTCTCCAGTTCCACCTTCTCATTTCTGATACTTTTACAAAAGATTAGGCTTTGTCTTTCTTTGCCAATGATTTTATTCAATGTTTTTAGCGTGTTTACTGTTAGCACGGTTAGCACCCTGCTACCTTTTCGGGTTTTTACAGATTATAACTACAAAAACAACAATTGTGAAGTAAATATACAACTAGAAATCTTAGTAGTCTAACTAAACGCGTCTTTATATATTACATATTTTGTATTTTCAACTTATTTCACTATCAAAAATGAATAATTTCGGTGCATCGTGGGCTAGCTCCTGAAACTGTCCGCCATTTTGCCCCTCCCACTCCCGTGACGTAGCAGCGTATCATTGGATATTTTTAAACAGGTTTGGCTCTTATTGAAAATATATTTATTATTATTGTATTATATTTCATATTTGTAAATATATATTTGATTAAATACGAGCCATGAATAACAAATAAATAATCAAATCACAGTTGTTATTATTTTTTATTTCTATAAAAATCATGGACAGCATCAAAACAGTTTTCAGGCCAAATTGATAAGACTAATAAAATTGTAAACCATATTATTGTATATGAAATAAATGCATTAATATATGAAAAAGATACAGTGGAGTTATTTTATCAGATTATTTATGATTGATTGGTACGTTGGTTTGACAGCTTTAGATACCACGCCTTCTTTCTCGGTCCCGCTGTTGCATTGGAGGGGGCACAGAGTGGACACAAGCGCATTGGCTGCTGTGTTTTTTTCATTAGGGTCCCAAACTACACACACCGAGATTTGTTGGAATATTACGTTACAGTCCAGCAGGAAAATGGCGACTGTCATTCATAATCCTTTGAAAACGTAAGTGCATTTTAATGTTCTCATCTTTTACGCGCGCTGGATGCCACAATGCTGCTGCAATAGCGATGTTTTTAAGGATGGCAGAATTCATAAAATGCTCTGATAAAACATAATCATATCATTTAGCGTCGTTTTGCCTTGTTTGCTGCTTGTCGAATACACGCATAGCATCACGAATTCTGCTTTTTGTGCACACATCTCCAGATATGCCAAGATGATGCACGGTTACGCATGGTTTTACGCTTACCAAAGTTGTGTTTTTGCAAAGCTAGCCTTAAGTTTACGTTGTGGACCGTATCGTAGCCATATGAGTGAATTTGCACGGGTAATACGCGTGTAATAACAGCGACACAAAGCGCAGATTGATTGATACCATGTCGTTGTTTTCCGCGCTGCTCTCGCTCTTGTAGCTACTGTCAGATGGATAAACAATGGTGCGTTATTACGTCTGATTATTACGGCTTTGGAGAGAAGAAAACCTGCAGTGGTAAATAGTGAATGCGCCGCTCCTCTTGTGGGGTCGTAGGGAAATTATTGCTGCAGAAATATTGACTAAATGTGCGCTTTTCTGCTCTGAAAGGAGGCGACCGTAACTTCGCCTCAAGCCCGTATTCAACACTGACTGACCTTAGAAATAAAACACCAAAGGCTGTGCCGCGTTAACCAAAACAACTAAACAGGTTTATATGTAATTTGTGATGAGAATATTGGATTGTGTTGTTATTTTTTATGTATAAATGTATGAATGAGAAAATAATATCATAGTATAGGTCTTATCTGACATAGGCTAAAAATATGAAATAGACTGCATAAACGAAATTATAAATTTCCTTTCTTGTATAATGTAACAAATTGAGATGGGCTTTTGATTAAGACATCAATTTGTAAGCATGTTGAAATGTTAAAGGGGGCATATTACACTGTTTGTTTCCTTATCAAAACCATGCTTGGAGTTGTGTTGTTTTTTGTTTTTTTTTCATTTGTTTAACACACAAACCATGCATATTTAGGATGAATTTTTTTCTCAAACAGAAAACACTCTGTTCCACCTTGTGATGTCATGGTGTTAATACAGGAAGTTGTCCACTGTGTTTTTAAAGTCCATATACATTCACTAGAATCATTTGGATCATTTCAGCCCTGGAATTTCCAATCTCTACTAAACTACCTTCAAAACCCTAATAATGCAGGATTACTCAAAATGTGTGAATGAAACAAAACATAACTCCAGGTATGTTTTTGATAAAGTAACCCTTTTGGTCTGATAAACCTGAACTAATGCATTTAAAGCCATGTTTTTGTATTTCTGTTGGATTGGTAAAACAAATTCTGATTATCATTTTCAAAATTTATTTTTTGTCAATATATTTCCAATTCCTATTGTAACATTTTGAGCATATACACATTTTTAACACACATTATGGACCAATTGTTATTACTACTGTGGTAATGTGTTTATGTAATCACTCTCAGACATCATCATTGTTTGTGTTGCATTTCCATAAGATTAGATTGTCCCAGAATCCTCTTGGGTCCAGGATTGGGGGGATCTTACCATGAAGGGGAGAGCGACATCTGCCCTCTTTTATTCTATCTGATCCCCCACTGCATTTAAATTAATGATAAAGGCTGAAGCATTGCAAAGATTTGCAATGTATTTTTAAAAACTAAGATTCAGTGATAGAAATGAAAAATGTAATTGCGATTTTTCTGACAAGCATTGTGTTTTGATTTGCATTTCATGTTATAATAATAGGATTCTGTTCAAAGTTCACATTTAAAATGCATCCAGAAGAATTGACAAAAAGACTGAAATGAAATGAACTGACAAACCAATACAAGAATCACATTTCAGAACATTTTTGTACAGATTTAAACTACAGAGTTTTTTGTTGTTTGGGAAGAAAATTATTGTACAAAACAATTGCGGCCTCTACAATTTGCTAATTGCATCCATTCAAATTTCAATTCGATTTCATTGTGATTAATATTGCTGCCCTAAACTAATACAAGAATCTCATGCATTTCAGAATAAGGCTCCATGGTGACACATGGAGGGCATCTGACACACAGGGGCATTTAGTTCACAAAGAGGACATTTATAGCAAAAATCATGCTGTTGATAATTGTTACCAATCAAATTGCAATTTTGTTTTGATTTCAATCAGCCAGCCCCAGGAGTGAAGGCTTTGCACAGGATTTAAATTAGGGCTGAACAATAGATCGAAATCAAACTGAAATTGCAATTATCAAAATGCAAAGGCTGTAGTTATATAGATAATTGGATGGTCTCCGCAAAGAACACAACGTCTCTCTTTTTGTATAGAAAGCTTTTTTTATACCTGTAGATTGGACCTCTACAAACATGTTGAAATGTCCCTGTGTGTCAGATGCCCACCCTGTGTTTTCATAGGGTCTTACTTTGTGTAAAAGCTGCTAACCCTTTAGTTTATACCTCTACAAACATGTTCTGAAATGCACAGGGTCTTGTATTAGTTCATCAGTTCAGATAGGAAGTAGGATTTAATGCGTTTGCATCTTCCTACTTCTTTTCAAGCTTAAATAAAAAAAAAAAAAAAAAAAAAAAAGTGAAATGTGCATTAAGTGTACCAGGTATACTTCTTATGTACATTAATGTACTTTAAATAAATGAAAAAAAATATATATATTTGGTTACAATGTTTACTCTAGAATCGTCATCTATGGCAGATCTATTCATGGCATATCTGGAATTTTATCAGATCAGGTGTATCAAGTGTATGGTTTGTCCTGGATTTAAATGCAAAACTGCAACAAAGATTTCAGTTAACTGATAAAGAGACAGTAGAAAGTTAGCAGTTCAAGTTCCCAGCTTAAACAAGTGCACACACACATATATATATAATATATATATATATATATATATATATATATATATATATATATATATATATATATATATATATATATATATATATATATATATATATATATATATATATATATATATATATATATATATATACACACATATACACACACATACACACACACACATATACATATATATATATATATATATATATATATATATATATATATATATATATATATATTTTTTTTTTCTTTTGACACTTCTCAGTGTATCACAACACAAGCGTGCATACCACTAATGAAACTACTGCCCATCACATCAGGTTTGTCAGGTTTCTTGCATGGATGACATGTAAATGTTTTTGATGAGGGAACAATGTGATAAGATGTTATAAAGCTAAAACATTTTGCTAAAATATCTAAGTTCCATATATAAAGAAATTGTTGTATTTATGGGTTTTAATAATGAGAGGGCTTGGATGGTTCTGCAGTTTTGGTCAAAGTTATTTGATTATTTTGGTAGAATAGTCATTTTTGGACTGATTTGTTTTTATAATTAAGATTCCTTTCACAGTGCATATTTTAAACCCATCCAGGAGCATTAACATTTGAGAGAAGACTAAAGTAATCCAAGAATTGCATGTATTTCAGAACATGTTTGTAGAGGTCTAAACTGCAGGGTTAGCAGCTTTTTACGTAGAATGAGATAATTTTCTCAAAGGGGACATTAGATGCAGTAATATTTTTTTAAGGTACTGTATTGGCTTATTTTCTGATGTTATAGTGTTTCATTATCAAAATCATACCTGGAGCTGTGTTTTGTTTTGTTCACTCATGTTTAACACCCAGACCCAAGGTGTTCCACCTTGTGATGCCATGTGGTAAAACAGGAAGTGCTTCGCTTTGTTTTTAAACTCCATACACCTTTAAAAGATTAAGTATCATTTGGATAGTTTCAGCCAAGGGGAATTTCCAAACTCTACTGAACTGAAGGTAAAAAGTATCTTCTAACTTGAAAACTACCACTATGTGACATCACAAGGTGCAACAGAACATTTTGAGCTTTGGAGATGTAGAAAGACTAAAGGATTACTCAAACATGTGTGAATGAAACAAAACACAACTCAGTTTTTTTGTGTAATATAGGAACTTTAAACTAAAATAAATAAATACAAATTATGATATAAACTGTTCAAACTTACAGCAATTTCAAGCATTTATTTAAATTTATTTCAATATTTTCTATGGTTGCAATGATTACTTTTTCTATGGTTTTACATTGGCAGCTGTTTGTTTTTGGGTAAATCTAAAGGTATGGTTGCTGAGATGTAGGTCAGAAGAGGAGAGAAAGAGAGAGAGGAGGAGGAGAGGAGGGGGTCGGGGTCTAAGTGTGTATTTTTTTGTTTGTTAGATACATCTGTTCTACCGCCCCTCCCCCAATTTAAGTGAGAAAGAGAGAGAAAGGAGGGAGAGAGAGGGAGGAGGAAAGGATGGCAGACAAGGGAGTGAAGGGAGGATGAGAGCGAGGAATGGAGAGAGGAGAGAAAGGGAGGGGGGGATAAAGAGGTGGAGAGAGAAATAAAAGAGAAAGAAAGGGTAGAGGAATGGAGGGAGGAGGTAGGAGAAAGATAGAAAGAGAGATGTGGGAGAGGGAGGGAGAGAGGTGCAGAAGAAGAGAGTGGGAGCAGAGTTAGAAAAAGGTGGTGAGGGAAGTAGAGAGGGGTCAAGGAGAATATAAGGGAAGAAAGGAGCAAGGGAGATCAGAAATAGGAGGTAGAGTAAGAGTAGGAGAGAGAGAGGAGGGGAAGAGAGATACAGAGGGAGAAAAAGAAGGAAACAAAAATAAAAATGGAGAGATAGATAGAGGAGGAGGAGGAGAGAGGGATAGTGAATGATAGAGTATTAGAGCTTGTTTGGGGGGCTTGTCTGGCTGGCTGTATTTATCACCACTGCACAGAACAACATTTGGTACATTGGGGGGTATGTTCTTTGTCTACGGAAGGAGGGAGAGAGAAAGAGGGGGAGAGAGGGGAGGGGGAGAGAGGGAGGGGTCAGATAAAATGGGAGTGGAGGGGGGGATTGAAAAGAGAGGGGAAAGAGAGAGACAGAGTAGACTGGAGGGTAACAGAGGAGAGCAAAAGGGGGAG